GCAGAAAATTATTTATAATGTCCAAGAAAGCTACGAAAAAGTCTGCAAGTCGAAAGACAATTGCAGCTTCTGGCAAAAAAAAACAGTTCTAACAAAAAGTAATAAGATTCATGCTGACTTGAACAAGAATATTAAAAGTCAAGACCCTGAATATATTAATAATAAAGACTTTGATTCTTTTAACAAATTATTGAGCAACAATATTGAGAACTCTCAATTACAAAATTCTTGCTCCTGTTCTGAGTCACAATATTCTTGTTTGCAATCACCAAAACATTCTCAACATTTTCATTCTCAATCACCAAAACATTCCCAACATTTTCATTTACGATCACCAAGACAATCTCAGCATTCTCGTTCATAATCATTACGACAATCTCGACTTTCTCATTCACAATCACCAAGACAATTTCAACTTTATCATTCACAATTACCAAAACAATTTCGACTTTCTCATTCACGATCCCCAAGACGATCTTGACTTTCTCATTTATAATCACCAAGTCAATCTCGACTTTCTCATTCACGATCCCCAAGACAATCTTGACTTTCTCATTTATGATTACTGAGATGTCATTCTCATTCTCAATCACCAAAGCCTTCCTATTCTCAGCATTATTATATACAGCGCTCTAGTTCTCAATCACAAATATCTTGAAATCAACATTTACAATTTCAGTCACCTGATCGCAAAACTTTTTTATTCAATTCTAATTATAAAGTAGCTAAATATGTTGCTGATTGACCAAAACTTCTAAAAATTGCAGATCAGATGCCCAGTATGATGGTCTTAGAAAATCTTACAATGAAGAAAGAGCTGATGTCCTTACTCAACAAGTATAATGTTTTTTTTTTATTATACAATTAAGATTTATTATTTTATTAATTTTTATAAAATATTTTAGGAATCAATGACATTTCAAGTATTTTTAAAATGCTTGTTTTTTAGAACACAGCATCTCACAAAACCTATAATTCTTAACTGTATTAAATTATGTTTTCTGACCAAAAAATTTTCGTATAAAGATATTTCAGTCTTAAAAGGTGCTGCCAATGCGGCATATCAGAGCTACAGAGATGCACTGCGAAATGGTCTCAGAAAAGTTGCAAAACATTTTATTGAGGATTTTAAGTAAGTAAATTGGGTTCATATATACTGTAAACTGATATGTATGGTGAACAAGTGTTGTATTAGCAGTAAGAGATTAGCAAATTTGAAAACATTATAAATTATTATTTTTTTTTTTTTGGAATTAAGGT